CCTGCTGCATTTACATTAAGGTGGCAGGTTTCCATTTCACTTACATTAGTGTAACTTTGGAGCACCTCCCCAAACTACACCACTGCGAAGGGAGAATCTGCCCACAGGCTCCCTGCTTTTTAGCCAATTTTATTTTTTTTTTTTTTTTTTTTTTTTTTGTGGTGGGGAGGAGGAGGCAAATGTAAAGAGAAGGATGGAGGTTTGTTTCCTTTTTTTTTTTTTTAAAGTTTAAAATAAACCACGTGGTATCACACTGATATAAAATTGGTGCCCATGTGTATCTTTACTTGCAACTACAAAGCACAGAGAACACACCATTGAAGCAAAACAAAATAAGGCTGACTAGTTCTATTATCACACCCAACCAAAGGCTTGAACCTTGCTTCCTTCACGCAGGTGACACATAGATCTGCTATGCAGCATCAATACAAACTCATTTTGTGACTTCTGCACAAAGGGGCTAGGTTTCCTTCTAGAAGAAAGACTAAAGCAATGAAGTGTGCAGCAATGCTGAAAGACCTTACTGTGTTTGTCAGGTAAGACACTAGTGTGGAAGAATCCTGCACAACAACCAAAGACAGCTAAGGGTGTAGTGGCAAGGAGGAAAAATTGCACAATTTACTGGCAAGCTTGCACAGTGCTCTCATAATGAACCATTCATATGCATGATCTCAAGTTTACTAGGAACAGTTGAACCAGGTCAGAATTAATAAGAAACATTTTCACATTCTCCAAGAGACCTTTTAATCTGAAACTTGTAACTATGGATTATTTCAAAAGCAACAACACAATGTACAATCCCTGAATTTCTCCTTTCCTACTGCAACAAGAACACTAGAGCACCAAAATGTCATGATAAAACACCTCAAAAGATTTCTCAGTTTTGCAGATCAAAAAGTTTAGATAATTAGCTAAACTTTACGGTGGTTATAAAAGGCATGCTCCTCGACATTTGAAGAGCTCCTGCTCAGTAACTACTCCAAGCAAATGCAAGTGATCAAACAGCTAGGACTGGAAAGCAGAAATGTGATAAGGGCTTGCAATATCTTTGCACAAATCAGTTACCTTTTTTCCATAAAACAGATACAGTGACATTTGCTAGGTTAAGTCTACTCTAATGACTCCTGCACAAACAGCAAAACAGAGCTTATATAAAACACATCAGAAAGCACCGTACACTTTCACAAAACCCACTCAGTGGGTTATTGGTATTACAAGATTGCACCAAACCAAAAAGAAATCAAGAGTTCTGCCATACACTGTGCAAGTACAGAATGAAGCCATTTGGGTTAAACACGACTAGAGAGAAACGCCAGTAGAAGCATGCGCTCTCACCTTAGGTACACTGAGCCAAGAACAGGGCAATCAAGTGGCAAAAGCAACAGCAACAACTGAACCCAGAACACCAACCTCAATCCGCTGCTTTAGTCATTAGAACATGCTCCTTCTTTGCAATCAGACTCCACACAGTAAGTAAGAATTACTAGCAGCAGCCAGGCACCATCACACTCCAAACATAGGATTAAGTGATGTATGCAACTTGCTTAGGCAACTGACTGTCACTGGCTTGAAAGTAAACACAGCACCTTACAAATCCCAGTTCCCTCCTTAGCCCAATACCACCTCCTTTGTCTGGCTTTAAATGGAAATTTTAGGATTACTTCACCTCTCCATTTTTTAAATACGTAGCAGACTGAACTGTATTCAGCAACACTCCTTGTGGGCTCCAGCTGAACTTGTATCTCAGAGGATTGTCAGAGTGCTCTGGAGCTGGTAGGCCACCACAGAAAGAAGTGTAGGATACAACCTGTCAGATTTATCCACAGGAAAGAAACAATGAAGAGAAGACAGACCAGGATACAAACAGTACAGAGCTACCCTACAGAATCCCCATCAGTTCTTAAACTTTCCGTTGACATTATTCCCCAAATGGGCCAAATCAGAAGATCTACAGGGGACACAGGAAACCAAAAGGATTTCACTGAGCAACAGTGTCAAGCTGCAATACTGCAGGTACTGTCTGTAAAGGAGAGGAAACCAAAACAGACACTGGGGCAAAGCCATCTTAGTTGATGGTCTCACCAACTGGATTAGTTGGCACCAAATTCCAAGCATTGCGAAAAGGTGTCCAGAATCCATTACGCATCAGTGATGTGCCCAAAAACTGGGAGGTGTTAAAGGAACAACTCCGTTAACAAAATCTTGGCAGAACTATGCAGTACCTGCCAACCTTACCGTAGCACCAACTTCTTTTGCCTTGTCAATACATTCCATCGCCAACATATGGTCAAGACCAGGATCCAAACCCATTTCACTGACAACTGTAATACCAGCAGCTTCTACGCTAAAAATAACAGAAATGCAAAGCTGTCAGAATATTCACTATTACTGGCCTTTTATTCAGGAAATCTATCTGACAAAGGCCCAGTGAACTTTCCCCAACACAGTAAATTCTGGGCTTTGTCTGCAGCTTGTAGAAAAAAAAAAAAAAAAAAAAAAAAAGAAAAGAAGCAGATGTTAAAACCCAAACAGTGACAATTGTCTAAGATTTACTGTTTTCTCTTACTTTGCTGCAACATCTAGGGGCTGATGGAAAAAGAAATTCCTACCAGCTACTCCATATCCCACGTTCTCCTGGACAGTGCTATAACGCAGGAAGGTAGTAATGCAGAGGACAGTACAGAGCAAGTCATAATTGCCCTAAACAGCTCCTGTGGGGGAGAGAGGTTGAAAGGCTTACCTCCCCAGATTACAAGAATTTGGGTTTTCTTTTTGTAACAGTTGCCTACACTCCCAGAGCAGCTCAATTATCACCACAAACAGGTGATTTCTTTTATTTTCAAAATCATTTTGTGTTTTGACAAATGATAAGTGTCTTTTTTTTTTTTTTTTTTTTGGAGAGCATGCTATCACCTTTTGGCATCACAGCAAGAAGGGGAGGAGAGGTCCCTAAACCTCCCTCATTGCCTGCAACACCAGTTCTCTACCTGTCTAGCTTTCTCTGTTTTATCTTTTGTAGGGACACAGCATGTACAATTCCCATCTCACTCACTTGAATTCACTTCAGAGTTTCCAGTATGAAAGATGAAGCTCAATGCCCAAAACAACTTCCAATCTTATATAAAGTAGGGCAACAGAAACATTAGAATAGTTAGAACTGTCACCAATTTGAGACTAATCTAGTGGGTCTGTCCAAAAGAATGTGGCACGAAGGATATTCCTGTAGATACAATAAGCCAAGAATGAGTTTTTATTAGGGGAATGTGAAGGATGACAAACGAGCTCACTGTCACTGGCAGAACAGGACAGCCCACCTGCTCAACTTGAATATCAGCCCAGCCTAAACATCCTAACAGGTTTGAGGGGAGAGGGGAAGGCACATTAACATGCAATAAGATGGGGCATACAGAAAAGTACATTCCAGCGTTTAGAGCACTAGTCTGACCAGACTGGGGCATGCACTCATTTCTCCGCTCTGCAACACCCTCCACATGCAACTTCAGGGAAAGGTACTTAGTCCTCCATCATAGAAAAGGAAGGAGAAAGAATGCAGAAAACAGTCATTCACAATAAGCACTGCAGGTGTAACAGACTGCAAAATATTCAGATAATGCACTAAAGGAGTAAGCAACACCAGGCAGATGCTACTTTCATACCTACCTCTCCTGGAGTTCTTTCATAGCTGGTGTTAAGTAGCTGGCTGTTACTAGGTTGACTTTGTTGTCAATACATTTCTTAGCAACCAAAGGATGTGCTGAATAAGGCAGCAAACTACAAATGAAGGAGAATCAACATCAAAATCCAATCACTTACTTATGCTGTCACTGGAAAGACGCTCGCAAATCTTTTTTGTATGCCTACAAAAGGGCTCAAGTAAATGCAGCAGTCATACCTGCCTTGGCCTGAGCAGTTTCATACCTACATAAGTGAAATGCTATCCTACCCAAAGAGCACTGTTGTATGCACTCAGAACAGGGCAGAGGACAATAGGGGAGTCATTCTTCCGACAGCATCTTTTGTCACACTTCTCTTTGTGAAAAAAACTGACCTCTTTTCAAGGCCACCTTCTAAACAGGCATGCTGGAGGTTTAGAAGATACAAAACTGTAAAACCACCCTTGAGAAAGCTTGCATTACAATGATCTTGCTGAATTACTTTGTGAAAAGTATGGTCTACGTGGAAAGGAAACGATACTCACGACATCTGTGGCAAAAGGGACAAAATGGTAAGGACTATGAAGTCATTTCCTCCCCTGTTTCAATATCTGGAAAGAGTTCTTTCTTAATGGGAGAATGACCAAGACGTCAGAATTTTTCCTCCTCTTGCAAACATATAAATTTGATCCCAGAAACACATACGCTGGTGGATGCAACTAGCCCCTCACACTAACAAGGCTGACCACATACATAATTTGTGAGCACTTCTAAAGAGATGCTGCAGTCAGAGCCCCTTTGAAAGTCCTGATGGCTTGCTACATGAGAAAGCAGTGGCCAGTTACAACTATTTACATACACAAATATGACCCCAGTTCTTGGGTACTAAAAATGTTGCCATGTTGATTTAGGTCAGTGAACGAGGAGAAAGAAGCAGCATAACTGAGGGTTGAGCTTATAATGTTTTACACAGAATTCTGACCTGATAACAAGGTCGTGTTTCTTCACCAAAGAGGACAGCTTGTCCTCATGCTTAATGACATCCATGTGAACTGAAGTAACGTTGCTGTATTTTTTGGTCAGTTGTTCAAGCTGTTCCTTCATGACAGATGCTGTTTTAAAAGTAAAACACATCAACTGTTACCTAAAGATGAAAGTAAGTCCAAAGCACTCCCATGTATAATTGTGCTTTACTCACACCTTCTTCTACCCAAAGAGTTGCATGGATGTTCTCCTTCATTAACAGTTGAAGAGAAATCAGGCATAAAGCACCTTACTTCACCTGAACTAGTCAATTTTATTATCATTTGCCAGCATCAAGCCATAGCAGCTACAAGTCAAGAACAAGAACCTACAAATACTTACTCTCAAAAGTAAAGAACCACTCGCTGCTAAATCGTGTAATGAGAACAGACCTGTAATCAATTAGCAACTTTGTGGGTGTACTTAAAATTAACAGAAGTTTTAACTGCAGTTTTCCTATCAGCAGACTAGGTCTGCTGTAATAATAACACAAATTATTTATGCCGAACTAGAAGTCATCTCCCTTCTTTTCCACTCTATGAAGAAGTAGGTCTAAAACATAAGATAAAGGACTGTTAAACTTATCTTTGTGCAGCAGAAAACCCCAGAACCCACTGGCTCACTGGCATCATGTGCATGTGTCCTCCCAGTATGGTATTCTACTACAGCACTGTCTATGTTTGTCAGGTAACTGAGCACCCACAGTTAAATGCATTGTTATCTCAGATCTACAAGCAGATCAATTGAAGAAAGTGTTTGAGAGTGAAGAATGCAAATAACAGTCACACAAGAGGGGCGCTCAGATGTGTATGTTCAGGTTCGAGAAAAGTTTTAGCGAAAGATCACAAGAAAGCAGCAAGAGTTGCAGTAAACACTTCTATTGATACAGGAGAAGGTGACTCATCTGAACTAGAACAACAATCCTACTACATGAAGTCTGGGAAAAATAAAATAAAGATGACCAGCAGAAAAATATAATAGCTCTACTGCGCTCAGTCAAAAGTACCACTAGCCCATTCAGGCAGATCAGTTTGGGGTTTTTTTGAGATAGAGTATTAGTGGGAAAACGGACAGGGGTAGGGAGTCAAAACGATAAGCCAAATGAAAAACTTTAGAAAGGAGAGAGAGAACCAAAGTTAGAGCAAGTAGGAACTCAATGACAGCCCACATACAGCACTATGAAACCAAGCAGCATTCTTCTTTTCCTTATTGATTTGGTGGACAACCGCACAACAGACTTGACCTTCATGCTTTGATGTGGGGGTGACATCACCCCTTGGGTCTACCAACCCTTACTTTAATGAGTCATCCCACGGTCTGCTTAGCAGAACAAGGTGTAGGAGAAAACCAGAATGCCAGAAACTCACATCATGGTCCTAAATGTATTAAATACTACTGGCATTCATGAGCTCATCGATTTGCTGGAGAAGCAGTGCACAAGCAGAAAGGTAGGGGGGGAAAAATAAATAATTGCCTACCCCAGAAACCTACCCCATTTGAAACAGAATAATTAAATAACATTGAAACAGGCAAAGGTTTTGTTCTTGCTTTAACTTTCACATGGAAATACAGAAAAGGCATGCCTGGTGCTTCCCAAGTTAATGAAACATTGTGTTGCACTGACTCTTGAGGGAAGATTGCAATAGAAAAATTGTATGCCTAGTGCGTTTCAAAAGTAAACTGGTTTTGGATTAGCTGATTATCATCCTGCTGATAAACAACCATTTTCAATTAGTGCGACAAGTTATCTGGAGGCCTAAAGCATGTTAGGTCACTGTGCAGTACTTGTTTTCTCCTGGTTTTAAAAACAGTCACTTCTCTAAGCTGGCCAAATAAATGCAGAAGTGAAGTGTTCAATTAGTTTTTGATGGTAGTAGGTATATCTGCAAAAGCACAGACTACCTCACTGAAAAGCAAGAAGCAGACTAGAAGTCCAAGAGGGGAAAAAGTCCAAAGAGGAAAACTTGTTTTTCTTTTTTCAGGTTGTGCTTAGTTTAAGTGAGACAGGAAAACCTTAACTGATTTTAAGCTCTTGATGAATATGCAGGTTCAACACAGATAAGAGGTTTAGTAAACACACACGTGCCCAGAAAAGCTTACCCCATCCCTCATTCCACACAGACATATGTATATGGATAAATCTGGTTAAAACAGAAAGCTCTCAAAACTCTGTTTCAGTACATTTTAACAGAATTCCTATTTATAGCAAAGAACAGCTTAATAGCTTAAAACAAAACCAATTAACATCATTCACCACTTTTAACATAAGAAAGATAAAAACATTAAGCTTTTGCTTAGGCTGAGTATGACTCAAAGGCCTAGATTCAATCTGACTGGTTTCAATATTTACCTATGACTTAGTCCTACCAATCCTGCATGTGCTAATGTTACCACTAAAAGGGAGAAATCCAGTCTCTGCCTGCCTCCACTTGGCCCTTCCTGTTATCTTGCTCCTACTGCCATCAGCACTTACCATTATAAGGAAAGCAGAACTGAAAAAGAGAGCCAGGTTAAAGCAACCAGTATTTGCCACATCTGACTGAAAGTGAATTGGTTTCCCCTCCCGGCTCACCGTGCTGCCAGCACTAGGACGGCAATGGGAACACAGTCAGGAGAAAGGAAAGGGTAATGAAGGCAGCAGGTAGGGTACAGGCTTACAGAGGCATCTGTGCCTCTGTAATGGCTTTTGCAAAGTCATGCATTATGGCCTTTCCAAAGTCAATGGGAAATAAACATTGCCAGAGGGTGATTCTCCATACCCTACCAATCAACTTGTGCTGCGAGAAAAGAGCTAAGCAAAATTGTCTACAAATTCAAACCAGAAAAGTTGATTACATGAAGGTTTCCCAATTAAGATTTTGGTCATTTAGATTTAAAGTGGTGTAGGCTAACAGCAGGGAATCAAATGTGGCACTGCGATGTGCATTTTAGGCTTTTTTCATCTATCTGCCTGCTGTCAAATATTAGACAAGTAACATCTTTGTGTCTCTTCCCTTATGAGTTCTTTTTGTGTGTGTGCTGTAGAAACTGCATGTTTTTAAGCTACCCAGAAAAGAGGCACCTGCTATGTTTGCCCAGTGCTTGGAAAAACAGATCTTGCAGTTCACCTGGTTTCCCTTAGTGCTACTGTCTAGCAGGGACTAGATGCAGTCTACGTATTGATGAGAGGATGGACACTGCACATTGCTGTATTCCTTCCCTTTTCACTCATTAGGCACTGCTAATAACAAGGATGCAGCTTCCTTAGCTACCCTCTTCCTCCTAGTAAATCTTTTCCCAGGGATTAAAAGGACTATGGTTATCACAGCAAAGGGTAGCAAAAGCAGCCAAGTATGAAAGTAGCATGAAAGAAAAAAAAAAAAAAACAAAGCAACAATAACAACAACGAGAGACACAACAGTAAGTTTTAAAGGAAACCACTTCCCAGCAAAGTGTCTTTCAGGCAATACAGCCTGGGTTTTAAATCTGAAATCACAGAATCGGGGTAAAGTCATCATCAAGAAAAGTGTTTCTGAGATGCCCAGACTGAAATATGCTCCAGATAAAACCAAAACAGAGGAAAAACATGCAGCCATGTGGGGCTGATGGGAAGGTTATAACAACAGCAGAGGTTTCACTCATACAGATGTATATAAAAACATTTGCATCTTCTTGTTGTGTGAGGCTGAAAACACAGCCAAGAGCGAGCAAAGTGACAGAGTAGCTACAAAACCAATCCCAAGACCAAAGCAGGTTAGAAGGAAAAATACTTCTAATTTCCCTATAGGTTACATATGCAAACAGTAAAGTTTCTATGCAGCTATGTAATTTTCAAATCGATAACAACTCAAAATACTCAGAAAGCTACAAAATTTTCTTCTGCTGTGCGTAATAAAAAATATTTTCTTTATCTGTTCTCAGAACCAGATCCATTTATTACTTACGAGAAAGTTCTGCCATGCTAGCAGGTTTAAATAAGGCATAATTTTTCAGTGAAAACCAAGCGAAGTCTTACATACCAACTGTGATGTCAATGTTGGAATCTCTAGTGAGATATTCAAGAACAGGGCCAGAAACATAGCCAGATCCGAGCAGTAAAACAGTCTTCTTACTACCCATCTTCAGTGACCGACTGTATTCCCTAGGAGGTGTTACAGGCAAAATTAAAAACCACACAGAAGGAGGAAACTGTAAGCTGCTAAAGCTAACAGAATAAGTATGTTTTAGTAAGTCTATAAGCCAAGATCTATACAAATCAAAAGTCAAGTTCCTGGTTGTCTAACCCAAGACTGTCTAGTACTGCTTGCATTCTTCTGCTGCGTAACTTCCAGTTTCTTTCCTCTAATATAAACATAATCGAATCCATCAACACCTCTCCACTGCTTCTCCAGTTGCTACTGGCTGTTTAACACATTTTTTCCTCAGTCATCACGATATTTTTCCCAATGTCCAAATTACTGTAACCTCATCACTCGAGGATTGCCAAGCCACCTGTATCATCGGCTGTCAGAAAGGAATTCCAGGCACTGCCTTGCTCCCTAAACGTAACTGTTCAAGTACACAAAACCATGCTGGTGAAAGTGTACTTTAGGTAAGTTACACGAGGTTCATATTAGTCCATCATAGGAACACGATAGTCAATGAAAGCCAAATAAAAGTTAATGCCCAACTAAGAAATCCTGTTTGCAGACAAGAATTCAGATTTGAAAACCATCACAGAGTGTTTCAACCAAGCTTCTAATACTCTCCTGTTGACTATCAATATAAAATGTGTTCACATCAGATTTTGCATTTCTTTTTGCCAACCAGAATAACGCAGTTCAGCAGTTGTTTACATATGCTGTCAAAAGTGTATCAAACATACTAGGAAAATACATTTTAGTTGTTTAGAATTATTTTTCCTTTTATCTTAAATTTGCATTAAGCTGTAAAATTAGCATTGTAAAACCGTTTGTCTAAAGTATCACCACTATGCAGATAAAAACCATTTAGCAAAGAAAAAAAATTCTTAAAGAACTTTTTATTGTTGAAGAAAAGGAAGCTGTTCATTGCCCTATTGTTTAATGTAATTAATGGAGACTGAGGTTTGGCTTTTCTTATCTCATATCCTGAAAACAAATTTCCATAAACAGGCAGGACCTTCAAAGATACAGACTTATGGGAAACTTCACAAGTGTATAAGCAACTTCCTCAATTTCCCCTTTATCTACTAAGAATTTACACAGGTATATACTGCATCGTGGATTATGCCACACAAAAGAATCCTGACCTCTAGCTGACAAGCTCATGACCACTTTCCTTAAAGCTCTCATCCTTAGAAAAGGACTCACCATATGTCTACTAAATAATGTTTGGTTCGGACCTTTTGGGGGCTCCCCATGGCACCTGTAAGTCAATTTCTGGTTGTGGTTTTTTCAGTCCAAAAATGGCCATAATAACGAAGGATGGTGCTGCAGCTTGCCAGAGCAACACCTAATAGCACGACAACAAGAGAACTGGCTGAAGGACAGAGCTCAGAGGGTTGTGATCAGCAGCACAGATTCTAACTGGAGACCTGTAACTAGTGGTGTCCCCCAGGTGTCAGTACAGGGTCCAGTCTTATTCAATATACTCATCAGTGACCTGGATGAAGGGATAGAGTGCACCGTCAGCAAGTTTGCTCATGACACAAAACTGGGAGGAGCGGCTGACACACCAGAAGGCTGTGCTGCCATTCAGTGAGACCTGGACAGGCTGGAGAGCTGGGCAGAGAGGAACCTAATGAAGTTCAACAGGAGCAAGTGTAGGGTCCTGCATATGGGGAGGAATAACCCCGTGCATCAGTGCAGGCTGGGGGTTGACCTGCTGGAGAGCAGCTTTGTGGAGAAGGACCTGGCAGTCCTGGTGGACAATAAGTTAACCATGAGCCAGCCATGTGCCCTTGTGGCCAAGAAGGCCGATGGTATCCTGGGGTGCATCAAGAAGAAGGTGGCCAGCAGGTCGAGGGAGGTTCTCCTCCCACTCTACTCTGCCCTTGTGAGGCCACATCTGGAGTGCTGCGACTAGTTCTGGGACACCCAGTTCAAGAGAGACAGGGAGCTACTGGTGAGAGTCCAGCAGAGGTCTGTGAAGATGCTGAGGGGACTGGAGCATCTCTCTTAGGAGGAAAGACTGAGAGGCCTGGGTCTGTTTAGCCTGGAGAAGAGAAGACTGAGAGGGGACCTTATCAACACTTATAAATATCTAAAGGGTGGGTGTCAAGAGGATGGGGCCAGGCTCTTTTCAGTGGTGCCCAGTGGCAGGACAAGGGGCAACGGGCACAAACTGCAGCACAGAAGTTCCACCTGAACATGAGGAGAAGTCTTTATTCTGAGGGTGACAGAGCACTGGAACAGGCTGCCCAGAGAGGTTGTGGAGTCTCCTTCCCTGGAGATATTCAAAACCCGCCTGGACGCAATTCCGTGCAACCTGCTGTAGGTGAACCTGCTTTAGCGGGGGGTTGGACTAGATGATCTCCAGAGGTCCCTTCCAACCCCTACCAGTCTGTGATACTGTGATTCTGTGAAGAGCAGTACTGCATGACCTAAAGCATGGCACAAAGTACCCGAGTACATTTAGGGGAGCAGGGCCTCAAATAATAATGTTGAAAGACTACCCTGAGTGAAGAGAGATAAATCAATACCAAATACATTTATATCATCTGTCTGAAGCACATTGCAGCCTATTAAATGTGTCTGAGTATTTGTAAAGCTTTATTTACTCTCCAAAATTCCCGATGTTCCCTCCTCCCTTCCTCCACTTTCAGGCTTAATTACAATTTTTTTTAAAAGTCATTCTTTTCAGTTCATTAAATCTGAATGGGATGTACCAATGTATCAGCTCTCTAATCTATCTAAATTATTACGGATTACTGTACATTTCGACCTTCATAGAAGTTTTACTGATTTGGGGTTTTTTAAAAAAAGTTCAATCATGATTTAATCCACTCACAGAAAGCCTCCTAAGCCCATCATATCCTTTCATATGACAAACCAAATGACCTTCCTCCTCCTACAATCAATTCTAACAGAACATCTTTCACAGCTACACCAACATGGGCAAGGGAAGAGAAAGATGCCAGAGGTACCCACTTATCGTCAAATTAACATTTTTCATAGGTAATCTATAGGTGTTTGTTAATAATAGGAAGCAAGGGAAGAGAAGGGATATCCAGGTTATTTACACTTTTGTTAGCTTAAGCCACTCAATGCTACTTCTTTCATGTTACCACTGGATAACTACTGAAACAGGGTCTGAATGAAGTGGTAGCTAAAGTAGCTACAGGAATATAATGAAAAGTCTGAGAGTCTCACAGAGGCTCCTGAATACATCAAGTCACAAAACAATGCTATACAGCACAGTACTTGAGCCATACTAGAGGAAACTAGATCCAAGGTGTACTACAAAGACTTCTCCTTTGAGCCATTCCTTTCAAATGGCTGTATGTTATATCCATTTTAAAAGGACAAGGATTAACAGAATAATACTGGCATGTGGCAGTTTTCTGCCTCTGGTAAAACAGTCTTCATAATGTAAGAAAGAGAAAAATGACCACTTTCTCAACTTCAATATAAGTTACTAACAATACACGTTACTGATTTAGGCAATGTGCACGAAGAAAGAAGGAAATCATCAAGCTAGGAGACACTTTGGCACAGGCTATATAGCAGTATTCCACCAAAACACAAGAGTAAATAAATGCAACGGGGAGATAGAATGTAGACAACGGTTTTTCTAAAATCCTGAACCAAATAAACTTTAAGAAGCTATACATTACCTGCTCTCCCTCAATTTCTGGATATATTCATACTTAGCTGTCAGTGAGCCATTGGATGCAATCACTGCCTAGAAATACATGAAATTAATTTTGAGGGCTTTTTGTACCTGTATGTTTTAAAGCAGAGGAAGACAAGCAAAGTGCCAAATTGCAAAACTTACATCTCGAACAACAGGTGAGTAATTCTGGCTTTCAAGAGGTTCTGAGCCATCTGATAACAGCTATGGAGATAAGTTATTTCAAATCAGGTGATCTTATTTCCCATAATTTTTTCCAGAGTAAACCAGCAAGATTTTAAGCAATATTTAAACGCATGCAACAATACCAATAACTTATAGATCTGAAATTCTCCTGGCCCTAATCAATGTCATTTGACTTCTATGAAAATACAGCAATTCAAACAGCAGTCTGATTGTGAGCGATTGTTGAGTGCCCCAAGCAAATCAGATTTAGACATCTACTGCATGGTCCAGGAGCAATGAACAGCCTGCCAGGGCCTGTTTCCTGCCTACACAAAGTGTTCTTGACAAACTCTTAAGACACCCAGGTCACTAATGTCTCATTCACATAATTGCTTTTTGAAAGTATTGCCTCAAGACTTAGAAAGCTTTTTTTTCTTTTTTCTGAAGTACAAAGTCAGTTATGTTCTACAGCAGATTCCTTTTGAGTGTATACAGGAGACAAGAAAAGCAACAAACAAGCGGACCAAAGTCTGAGTCTTTTACCTTCTTGGTGCACACCTAAGACCTTACCATCTCTTCAATATACGGGAAAAGCATATCGCCAAAGTACTCTGTTGCTTCTATAGGAAGCTGTGCTGGCAGATTGTCAATGGAACACATCAGAACCCCAGAGCCTTCAACACTGAAAGAGAGAACATAGCTATTCGAGACTGCTTCTCCTTGGTATCTGAAAGGCACCACCTTTCAGATGTGTTTTAAATGTCATATTTCACTGTACAATTTACAGAGGAAAGCAATAAAAATTAAAGGCTCTCCCACCTGTCATGAATAACATGCTGGTCAGCATCATACATACAAAATGGACTGTCAATTGTTGTACACTCTGTCATAAATTCTATAGATCCCCCAGTGTCTGCTGAAATGTCACATATTGCCAGAAGTCTAAAGTGATTGAAGAAAAAAAGACAAAGGAATACAGCATTATCCAAATTCCTAAGAAACACAGCTATAAAAGATCACAAGTGAACAGAAAAGAAATGTGAGAACATCTATCAGACTTGCAGCTTCGTTCATCTTAACCAATTTAGAAGTCAACCCAACACAGTGACATCCAGAAACATAATGGAAATCTGGCCCTGCTGTAGTCGTAAGACTTCCATTCACATTAACAGATCCATATTTCATATGTAACTTCTTAAAGACCAGAAGAATCCACTCATCCATCATTTTTTCTCTGTACTCCATGTGCTGCCACACCTCCCATTCATTATCCATCTACCAATTCCCCCAAGTTGTCACTGGGCAGTCCTGCACTAGAATAATTTCATCATCTTAAAGGGAAACCCGAAGAAGTTGCTGCCTCCTTTCAGTTCAGGGATAGCTGGCACAGGTGGAGCATTCATTAGCCTAACTCACAACCTTTGGCTCCACTCAAGGTTAACACTCAAATTCTTTACTTGTCATGTGAGAGAAAGAAAAGGTGTCAAGAGTGGGCAGAGAAGAGACAAAGACCTGCTTCCTCACCCACCAGGATACATTGCCATATCCTCCCCAAATCCATCCCCAGGCTGGTCTCCCAGAGAACTATTACACAGGGCTATTAGGGCATGGGTGGCTCCCACCAACACTGAAAGGAGACCAACTCTGGATTTGCAATCCACGTTCCATCCTTAAAGCTATTCAGGGTTGTCAAGCATTTATGCTAGCTGCTGCAGAAATCAGAGGTGTTAAGGAACAGTTATTCAACTTGTACAAGCCAAATGACAGGGTAGGAAGAAGTTAACCAACAAACTTTGCTTAGGCATAGAAACCTTTAGCAATAACGGCACAGTAGGTACACTTCCCAGATGTGTCGCTGTTTGTATTGGATTCTACACAAGGACCAATGGCAGAACTACCTTTACAGAAAGACAGCTGATACCTGTCAGTCATTTGCACTGTGATGTTTTAAAAAACTCCAAAATGTAAAAACAAGACTGCAAACACAGAAGAACAAAAGCAGAATCAACGGGGTATTGTGCAACATGCAAGAGGAACAACATAAGAAACAGAATCATTTGGTAGATATTGTGGCGAAACTGTCTATCATTACAACTTAATCATGGTGCTGCAGAATATTACAAGTGAACTGAGGTGTCTTACTTGTGTGGTAACTCAGGACAGCCGTCCGTTGCCCCAGCAGCAGATCTAACTGGCAACAGCAGCCTCTGAGCATCCTGTCGACTTAACAAGCGAGGAGTATGTTGTTCCCAGTATATGCCATTAACCAAACAAGTTGTATAGGGTGCAACCTGCAAAGAAAGTTACAGATGCCAAATGTTCTCATCTAGTACTTTAAGAAGTTGAAAGAACCTGGTCTACTGTTTTAAATGAATGCTCTCTCAATTGACAGATATGCAAAGGTGTAGTAACTACCAACACTGTGGAAAACCCTTCATAAAAGAACAGAAGAGATGCTCACATCAGTGTTAAAACGAGAAGTGTAAAGTTCTGGATGTTTATCATAGTCTACCGGATCATATATTCCATCACGTTTCCTTACAAGATGATGGTGACGACTTAACACTGTACCATACACTTTTCTGAGGTCTGAGGTTGAGAACAAAAAATACAAAAAAATTAGCTGCTATACTTGGACAAAAAGGGTTCCAGTGGTTTTGATCACTTCATTGTCACAGCATACCTCCAGATCTGGAAACTTCCTTTAACTCATGTGGTTCCACAAACTCACATGGGAGAGCACTGAACATTTCTTGAGCACCCTGTAAACCATGAAGTAGGATTCAGAATGAGCAAAGAATATAAAGGTAGTGTAACCCTGCTCATTTGGTGTGTGAAAACAAATATAAAAATGCCACGCACAACTTGACAGTCCTGCCACAGAACATCTTCAGAGATGTACAAACTGTTTCACACATAACCCTGCTGATCCAAAACAAAGCTGCCTGGGTTCTAGAAATTTACATCATACCGTGTTACCACAGTATGCCTGACCCACAATCCAATGCCTGGTTTATATTTCTAACTGCAGAGCTGGGAGGCCTCAACCACAATAGATGGTTTTGCTGCCACTCTGAGGAGCAGTTTCTTTTTAAGGAAGACCCCTGAAGCCACTCCTCACCAACTGGGCTGTTGTAAAGGCGAAGAACTTGAAGATGACTTTCCCCAATCAGCTGTGATCATAGAACACAGGCCTTTCAGACACGCCATCCTTTCGTCCAGAAAGCACATGTTTACACAGGCAGTGATTTCACTTTACAGCTGGAGCCTAGTTAACTGATCTTTGTTGCCAAAACCAAGGGAAAGCCTTTTCCCTATATTGTAGAAAATAGCTCTAAAGTCCAGCAATTGTAAGCCAAGTCAATGCCATAAAAACAGATCTAAAAACTCAGCAAGTATTAGAAAAAATAATTGTTTCCCCATACTTTAATGGGGTGATTCAACACATCTTGTAAGCCTAAAGTCAACAGAGGGCAGAGAGGGAGACAAAATCATGCAGGTGGGAAAGGAGAGATGAGCAGTAAGACACAACCCGTTTTTCATGGTAAGAAGTTAGCATGGTCAGCCTTGTCAGGCATGATCTTGTTGTAAAGGCATTAGTTTAAGGTACTTAAAAATTCTTACTGGCAAAGGAAAACCTGAAGTCCAAGCAACAAAATGAACCCATCAACCCATTTAACCTGGTATGTATCAAATGCCAACAAGTTCTATTAAAATAATATCGCATTTCATCTTGAAGACAGAATTCTTACCTTAGAAACATTACCAGTGCCTGTAAATACAAATGTTAAGGGCCCAACTGACTTTGGCATCAATCCCAGTGAAATTTCATACCCGGCATCCCGTACTGCCTGCACAGCCTGACTGCTATTCCTGTAGTTATGTGCCATCCCAATGTGCTGAAATCAAAGGCACAGAATCATCAAGATATTTTCCATATTCAAATACAGATAATTAGCAGATGCCCGAACGTCATTTTGCTAAAGAAAAACACTTATACTCTTACCATGAAGGGAGTGTGATGTCCCAGGGCTAAAAATCGTAATCCCAATCCATGTAGAATGTTGATCATTCCTATTGTTAAAAAAAAAAAAAAGAAAAATCAGACCATGAGTGTTAATTATGAATATGCACAGTTAGAAACTGCAGAGACCGACTGAAGTCTAAGATCATCCTGGATATTTTTGCCTGTGTTTTAATATTAATACATTAATTCTAAAGAAAGTCTATATAAAACCAGGGAA